GGCTTTATGCCCAAAATACGTCCCAGAACAAATGCGCACAAAATTATTCTTTGGGATGTTCAGAACTATCTTACATAATGCCTTGAGAAGAAATGAACCGGAAGGGTTAATGAAGTCATGTGCTGGCCCATGTCACAGCTTCTGCATAAGCTGGCCACACCCCACAACCTCAGTCTCTCAGACACGGAATTCAGTGAAATCTGCTTCCCCCTTTTTTGGCAAGGTAGTCGGAAAGCAGCTTTCAAACTTAACCTTTTTCCTTAAAGTCAACTTAGGTAGAATAGGTATGATATGAATGCTTATACAGAATTGATTTCTATGGGGTATACCACTATTCTGTGTTTATCCAGCAATATTTTTAATTTAGGTATGTTTTTTTCCAGTTTAATAGGTTTTGCTCTCTAGGTAGCTGTTTACAGTAATGCCCCTCACAGATGGGTCCCAGTGACCCCCACAAATCCAAGCCACTGAATATGACAGAAATTCAACAGGCATGGCTTTCTGCATCACTATGTTTCCATATAGGAAAGCTTCACCTGTTGAATCTGTCTGTCATAGCACTGTAAATGATAGATTCATTCCAGGGGGGGAAAGGGGGCGTCAATTCTTCTATAGCAGCAGTTCCCAGATGTTTTAATAAAATGGACTACCTCACCCAACAGCATGCTGTCTTTAGACTAATACTGTCTTTAGACTGCCCTTTGGAGTCTGCCTGGAAAATTTCAGCCCCGTGGCAATGACCTATCCTGGCTGCACCTAGTAAGTAGAAGGAGGGGGCCTGGCCAGGCTCTTATGGGTTCTCCGGCAGAGCAGAAAGAGTTCACCAAAGGGGAAGGCAGGGGAGGAGGAAGTGAAGTAGAACCAATATTGCTAGAACAGAACTCCAGTGGTGGGATCAAACAGGAAGGAAACAAAAGGTCACCAACAGTGATCTAGTATGTAAAATTAAACAAAAAGAAAGAACGGTGGCTGGGGAGAGCTGCATTAGCTGCTCCAGAGGATATTCCGTCAGCCACCGATGTCACTTGCAGAGCAACATTAACGACACCTGCACAAACCCTCCCGTGTGCTGCCTTTGGCGGGATCTTGGATCAGAAAGGCAAGGATGTCCATTAGTTAAATGTAAGGAACTGACCAATTTACTCACATAACCCAGATCAATCTGTTCTGACGGGCAGCCATTCTCCAAGGTCTCGGGCAGAGCTCTTCCCCGGCTACCAGACCACCGTTAAGGGGAGGTGCCGGGGACTGAATCTAGGACCCTGCCTGACCCACGCAAAGCATGATCTCTACAGCCTCTGGGCAGCCCCCGCATGTTCCCAAGGACAAAACGTTGGACTTGGAGAGCTCAGACAATGCCATACTCCCCACAATTCTTACAGCTCCTGCTTTCTGCTCTTCAGCTGAGAAGCTTTAGGGTAAAACCGACAGTTAACCAGCCCCCCACCACCCCACCCCACCCCGCTTACTCCAGCATGTCTAATCTGGCCAGTCTCAGATGGTTTCCTCCACTTCCAGCAGTATTCAATGGCTGAATGGGCTTGATTGTGTAGTGCTGATGGCACAAAGTCAGCACAGAGCGGTGCAAGGGGTGACACTGGAACGAGGCCTGCCCTCACAAGAAGGTGATATATCTGAATGTTAATTTCCTGCCTTGGAAAAACGAAGTCAACATTAAGTAACCTGAACTGTAGATCTATTCCATCACCACCAAGACTTATCTTGCACCCCCATCCAGGTTATGCCTGAAGTCGGCATCCATAAAGTTTCACTCCAAACATGCTCCTACTTGAGAGCCAGTGTAGTGGGCAGAGTGTTGGAGCAGGAAAGAGGAGACCTGGGTTCAAATCCTCCCTCTGCCATCAAGAGTGCTGTGTGACCTTGGCCTAGTCTAAACTACCTCACAGGGCATTGTGAGGATAAAATGGAAGAGGGGGAAACCATGTAGAGCCACAAACTCCCTAGAAGCAGGGCAAGGTTATTGGCATCACTCATGCATGTAAGCCACTGCTAAGCATGGTTTTATTCTAGCAGAATGTGTGGTGTGACATAGAAGCCTTCTCTCAGATGCCTCCAATAAGATCTCGAGAACCAGAAAGGGGCGTGACTCTTGAGAGACAGAGATTTGTTGAGGGCGTGAGCTTTCGTAGGTAACAGCCTATTTCGTTAGAAGCTGGAAGGGGCACAAGGCCAACATTTACTCCCCAAGTCAAAAGGGCTAAGATGCTGCAGAGAAAGATTACTAGAAGAACATTTCTGGGCTGGGAGGCTGTATCCCATTAAGCAGGTTTTATTGAAATGTTTGCCGATTCTTTGAAAAGGTTTCACAACATTACTGTGTTTCTTACATTTCATAAGGGAACACTGGCTTCTGTTTTTAACACTTTTATTCAGGTTTAAAATTCACTTGCATAATAAGCCTGGGGGCTGTTAAGCCTTTTAAGGTCTCTACAAACTATACTCTGTATCTGCAATGAACATCATCTTTCATTCGCCAACAAGGAATTTCTCTCTCTCCACTCCTGGCTCTGAAGTGTCTCACAATCATTCCTGAGTATTTTTGCTTCCTCAGACCCGCTAAAACATTAATTTTTCAAGGGAGTCTGCCGCCACCATCTGCACACTCGTCATGACATCTGACCACGTCTTACTTTCTCTGTGGCTTTCTGCCAGTTCCTTATCTAATCTTGCCCTGTGTTTTATTTCTATGAAGAGATGTTCTGGAGCTCAGTCCTGTCCAGAAATTACGTTCTTTTCCCCGGAACTCTTTCTCCTTACTCTAGTGTCCAAATCTAGCTAAGGAAACCCCGGTGCACAAGCAAGATTCTTTGCAGTTTTCAGTTGCTGGTTCAGGAACCACAGGTCTAATCTCAGTATACATCAAAGTGTCTGCCTAAACTGTCTATGTATTCTTTTCAAGACAAGCATATTCAAATGTATGTTTGACACAACTGAACACACATAAATATCTTTTTAGAAGCACAGCTTGTTCAGAGGTAGCTATTACTCTTTGGAGAAGAAAAGCTCTCTACATATGTTCAGACATAATCTGCGTTCACTTTACTTTTCACATTTTGGGGAGTGAGAGCCGTCAAACTGGTCTGATCAATAGTTAGACATGTCAAACTTTTGTCTATCCTTTGAAATATATAGGAGACAATAAAGGAAATATCAGATGGAGCTAATAAGTACCAAAGATATGAGTCAGTGAAGGCAGGGAAGATGGAGATGAGTGAGGATTCAGTACCAGCATCGTGAAATTTCCTGTAGTATCTGTATCCTGAAAATGCTCCCAAAACATGAGCCACTTCCTATGCCTGGCCAATAGAGGGCGCTGCTCTGTCAGCACAGTATTTCACTACAGACATTCCGTACTGAAGGCATTCTACTGGCTAATTTTAGACTGCCTTAATACATTTGTTGATGAAAACTAGGTCTTAAACTTAACTGTTAGGAACTGTTCAGTCCTAAATTCACATACCTATAAAGACATTCCTATAGGCAAATAAATAACAATGCAGAATCAGTAACAGCCTTGGATCAAAAGATGTACAGGTTCATGCTTGGCCATATTATAGAATCCATCTCATCCTGACCCACAGTGCAACTCTTCTCCTCTGACTGAACTCACATTGGGCATATACAGCATGATCTTTTACTTATTTTTATATCTCACCCTAATTCAGTCATTGTACTACATGCCCCACAGCACACACAATACGGTCACAATTTGTGTACCATGACGGAATAATTACTTGGCCAAGTAGTACCATCAGCACTGGGAAGAAGGCCACTGTTCTTCTGACATACAAGGAAATATTCTCCATATTCTGAGGTAATTTAATAATTCTACCATTTGTCAGAGTGCTATTAAAGCAGCTCTCTCTCAGTCCCCACCTACTGGTGACTGCAGGCCAGTGCCCAAGCTGCCATTCTTAGCAAGAGTGATCAAACCGTCACTGATATCAGGTCCAGATGCTCTTGGAGGAAACAGAGGCCCACCTTCAATGCCCCAGTAGGAGACTTTTTTACACAGAGAGTGATTACAATGTGGAATTCACCTCCATAGGATGTAGTGATGGCCACAGGGATAAACAGATTTAAAAGGAGATTAGATAGATTCATGGAGAATAGGTCTATCAGTGGCTACTAGCCATGGTGACTGAGGGGAACCTCCACGTTCAGAGGCACTAAATCTCTGAATCCCAGAGCCAGGACGCAACATCAAGGGAAAGCCTCGGACTCTCTATGCCCTGTTATTGGCCCTCCAGAGGAACTGGTTGGCCACTGTGTGGGACAGGATGCTAGAGTAGATGGACCCTCACTGGTCTGACCCAGCAGGGCTCTTCTTATGAGACCTGCACTATTTTGTGTGTGATCCTGTGTGACAGGGATATGTGATCCTGCTGATTCTCTTAGTGACTTTTATTATCATTGAAATGGAATCCTTGTAGACAGCTTGCACGTGTCAGGAGTAGGAAACGGGGCTTTGGAATGGTTTCATTCCTGCCTTATGGAACAGTTCTTGAAGGTGGTACTGGGAGACTGACTCTGATATTGCTTTTCCCCATGTGAACTGTTGTGTGGGGTTCCACAGGATCCCACACTGTTTCCTATGGTTTAAACTGCTGTTATGTGTCACTCAAGGGCTAGGAGTAGGGTATCATCAGTAAGGTGATGACTGAAGCACATTATAGATTGGATAGTAAAGGTTTCCCTTGCTCGAAAGCCAGTCAAATCCAACTCTAGGGGGCAGTGCTCATCTCCGTTTCCAAGCCAAAGAGCCAGCGCTGTCCGATGACTTCTCCGTGGTCATGTGGCCAGCACAACTAAACACCAAGGTGCACAGAATGCTGTTACCTTCCCACCAAAGTGGTACCTGTTTATCTACTTGCAATTTCTTTCTTTTGAACTGCTAGGTTGGCAGGAGCTGGAACCAGAGACCAGAGCTCACTTCGTCATGCAGCACACTCGGGTCTCGAACTGCTGAACTACCAACCTTCCAGTCTGCAGTTCAGCATCTTAACCTCCGAGCCACCGCATCCCTATAGACAAGACAGAATTCCTTATAGTGAGTGGATCCGAATCTGGAGGGGGTGGGGGACTGCTATATTCCTGCCTCACCTGTGAATTAAGTCCTGCTAAAAGAGTTACTAGTCCAGATGCCAATAGTATTGGCAGCAGGATTATCCTTGCCAGGAACAGAGTTTTTTCAGTGGTGGATATGGTACCCTTTAATTCCCTCCAAAGAAATGCCCACAAGGCTTAATTTATTGTTATTTAAGGTACTGGCTAAAACTTTGAAGGTGTACAGAGAATGCTTTAATGTTATTGTTCATGTAGTGTAGGGTTTTACTGTAAAGTGCCTTAGGAACAGTTTCCGGTAGAAAGGCAGCATATAAATATATAAAAGTTATTTCTCTGCGGTCAGACCACATAGTATGATAGCTGATTCAGTTCTAGCAGGTAACAACATTGCCTTTATGCAAGGACCCAATCCAAGGAAGATAATTCAAAATGGATGGTCTGTCCCCCCTACGCAAATCCTGTTAAATCAGTATTACTTGGATTGCCTTAAAACCTAGCAGTCTGGGGTTTTTTAGTCCTGTTTTTTAGTTCATAATTTCCACTTAGACAGGAGTTCAAGCCCATGAAAAAAATGCTTCACATCTAAGAAGCTGTCAGGGCTTCATCCTTGCGAGGCTATTTTGTGGAGACAGTTTTATAAAAAGAAGCTTGGAAAAAGGAGAAGGGAAGGCTGGACTTTCAGAGTTACCAGTTAAACAATGTCCTCATATCACGTCCAGTTTTTCAGTCAGCTGCCAGAATAGAAGGAAGCAGAGGAAACATCCCTGACTCTCAGGAGGGTCGGCTGGCAGAAAACATTCAGCTCCTCCCCTGGGGCTTCAGCTGCAATGATTGTCATGCGGAGAGGAGGGAGAGGATAAGGGCAACTTGCTCACCTCAGCCCAACAACATTGGGGACACTGAGGCTATGACTGGACAGTATGGTTGTTTAAGTATGGTGAGCCAGATGCAGACACAATCTGGAACCTCTTCACAAACTAGACATATTCTAGGTCTCTGGACTGACTGACTGACTGATGTCCTAATCACCTATTTAGAAGTCATAAGGCTGTTTAAAATATTCTGCAAAAAATAAAGCTCTCTTTCTCTTTATATATAAACCATAGATACATATAAATATAGATATGCATTTGTTGAGAATTAAAAGCACCTTGGTTATTTTCATAGTTCCAGATACAAAATTCTCACAGTATATTTCCCGTCCCCTCACTAATAGCATCTCACGCCATCTGCTAGGCACTTGGATTCCGCTGTCTGTCACCCACGAGTTCTCCACCTTTCCTGTCCCCGGCTTATGCAGTGGTAGGATTGCTGCTCAACAAGCCATTGGCAGCAACACCATCCTGGAGTTTCACTGGTGCACCATTTGTCTCATCTAGAGGTCCTTCTTTTGTAGCTTTAGCCTGGAGAATCTTGTGGCGGAAGTAATAGAGGTAGCAGGGGAGCAGGAAGCCCGCAACAGAGAAGATGAGAAGGGCCAGTTTCACCTAGGGAGAATGCAAATCGTCATTCCTGACGGCATATCCAATAATGCTAATGTAGGTTACAGATACAGTTAAGACTACAAAACTGGTTGCAGTGGGTCCCGACAGCACCCAGAACACTACCCATGGCCAGTCTCTCTTGCAGCCCCCCTACACTGCAAAGCAGTGCTGAAACCAGGGGTCATTTCGTAGAAAAAGAGCTGCAGGAGCTCATTAGCATATCTAATAGGCTATTAGCATAGAATATAATGGCCCATAGAATATAATGGAAAGAGAGAAGGGGTTTAACGTTTAAATCCCTTCTCTCTGGAGTCATGTCACAGCGGCGGCGCAATTTTTCCATTATATTCTATGGGGCCATAGAATATAATGGAAAGATCGCACTGCTCCTGTGGCACGACTCCATAGAGAAGGAGCGTGGGGGCGGGGGCGGGCAGCTGGGGGCGGGGCTTGCCGCCACCGCCAATTCTGCCCACTCCTGGGCTGCCGGAGCAGTGCTCCAGCGCGCTCCGGGCCCAACAGACCCCTGTTTGAAACCGTTCTTTAAAATGCTTGTGACTTTCTGGATATGTGTTACTTTTTACGAAAAAATTGAAAATAGTCTATCTAGTGCAAAAATTGGAGCAAACGATTTAGGGCAACAAGACACAGTACCTTGGCATGGAAAGCAATTTGCCAACGTAGCATTCAGCTTGTTGAGATGCATGTTTGAAACACAAGTTGTGAAGTTGAGTTTCACACCACCAGTGAGGAACACAGAAGGCAGACCTACAGAACCCAAGCACCTTCAGTTGCATGAGGCTTATTGTCTTCCGCTCCATTTCCCAAGGCATAGCTAGCTTCCTGCAGCCCATAACTCACCCAAAAGGGATCTCCGTGTAGTGGCCCCACCATTGCCATAAAGAGTGGCTGCTGGAGGAGAGCAAATACAGCACTGATCATCGACTGTAAACCGGTCAGTGTCCCAAAGTGATTGGACGGATACCTGTCAGCCACAAATAATGCACAAAGGGTAAGGCTCAACATGCACCACACTACAGATGCTATCCTCAATCCTCCCCCATCCCTAAGAAACACCTGCAGCTTCCAGATACAAAACAGATATTGTTCATTTTTGTAACATATTTTGGGAAATGAATCCATACTAAAGATATCAAATCTATCAACTTTGTTAAGAATTAAAAACCCTCAATAAATGAAGCATATAAGCAAATTTTTGAAAAACCAGTGAAAAGAGACCAGTAACAGCTTTGGCAGGAAAGAGACCAGTAACAGCTTTGGGATAGGATACCAGCAGTGCCATCCAACACAGGTCTACCCCCTTCTAAAGCCACTGAAGTCACTGGGATTGGAAGGGTGCAACTTTCTGCGTAGGGCAGCACTAAAAGGTGTAAGAATTCTTTATATTTTTCAACTCCTATTTGAGTTGGCTCCCAGTCACTCTTAATTTGGCCTGTTCTCCCCCCCCCAACTGCTAGGGCAAGATTAGCTGCCA